TGGAGGGCTATGTTTGACCCCATGTATGCTAGGCTGAAGGCTGGGGGTCCCCTTTGCAGTCTGAGCCTGGGTAGAGGAATCAGGGTGCTGCAGAGACCATCCTCATACAGCTGCAGTTCCAGGAGCTGCTGCCAGGGCTGGGGGAGGTGGCAGCTGGGCCCCTCCTACTCTTTGTTGGCAGAAGTGGCAGCTGCCAACCCAAGGGATTGGGAGAGGCAGAGAGGAGCTCTGCCCTGACAGCCCTTCACAGGGTTAAATCTCCCTCCCACCTCACTTTGTGTCACTTACTCTTGTTTCCCCACCCTCCATCCCCACAGGTTCACAGAGGCAGAAGTGATGGTGATGGGGGACGTGACCTATGGGGCTTGCTGTGTGGATGATTTTACTGCAAGGGCCCTGGGAGCTGACTTCCTGGTGCACTATGGCCACAGCTGCCTGGGTATGGCAGGCCAGGACACACCTGGACCCTGGCAGGGCTGGTGGGGAGGCAGGACTGCATGTCAGTCTCCATCACAGTGCCTTCTTGCTCTGCTTATGGGCATGAGGTCCCTCCTGGTTTCTGGGATGGCCTTGGCCTTCCTGCTCTGAATCCTTTGGATTTAATTACCTTGGAAACCATTCTGTTGTCCCAGATGTGGGTGTTTGAAAAGCTGTTGGTAGTAGACTAGGCTGAGCCACCAGCTGAGGGACAGAGAAGGAGCTTCTCAGGGACCTGTAAGCCCGCACTCCCCACCCCTCCTTCTACCCGCAGGATGAAGCCACTGGTCCTGCCTGTTCAGAGACCTTGGCTGGGCTAGGCTCTCTCCCCTGCCTTCCAGAACAAAGTCCTAAACTCTTCCCTCCTCCCAGTTCCCATGGACACTTCAGCCCAAGACTTCCAGGTGCTGTATGTCTTTGTGGACATCCAGATAGACACTGCCCACCTGCTGGACTCTGTCCGCCTCACCTTCCCCCCAGCCAGTGCCCTGGCCCTGGTCAGCACCATTCAGTTTGTGTCGACCTTGCAGGTAAGTGGACAGACAGCAGCCAGTCTCCGGGCTGTTCCTGGCTCTCCTGGTCGGGTGCCTCAGGCTGGTCCTCTAGTCCCGGCTCTCTCTCCCCAACCACTTGTTTCCCTGCCCTCATTATCCCTACAGGCAGCTGCCCAGGAGCTGAAAGCTGAGTATCGTGTGAGTGTCCCACAGTGCAAGCCCTTGTCCCCTGGGGAGATTCTGGGCTGCACGTCCCCCTGCCTGCCCAAAGAGGTGGAGGCTGTTGTGTAAGTGAAAAATGGGGGGGGCAGTCATAAAGACATAAGAAATGTGCACTAGGAGGGTGCCCTGAGGTTCACTTTACAGGAAAGGAAATAGTCTAAAGCTCCTTAACCATTTGCTCAAGGTCACCCTGCAAAATGGAGACCAAAGAAGGTTTCAGGTTTCCTGTCTTTCCAGTGCTCTGTCCACCATCCAGAAGGCTATGCCCAGAATGGGACAGGAATCAGAGGGCCTAATGGGGGGCTGAGGGTGGGCTAGAAATAGTGGGGATATAATTGGAAAAGATGGATGGGCACGCCCAGGCTGCAGCCCCATTAATTTAGCATTCGGACAGCTAACAAGCAGGAGCAGCGTGTCTCCTGCCGCCTAATTATTTTAGGTAATGGAAATGCTTAATGTTGTGTGAATGCAGCCAGCCTCAGAGCCAATAGCTCCCCTGGCTGGGACTGGAGAGGGGAGCCCCGTTCCCTGCTAATGGCAGGGAAATAGGGAGGACCACTCCCCTGACTCAGCCTCACCTCTGGGGCTGCGGATGCTGGTCCCACAGGCCTTGCTGCACCCACACAGAATGCCCCTGCCCCTGGACAGACCCCCACTGGGGCCTTCCCAAGCCCAGACCTGGCAGCCCCATCCCTGAGGGGCATTCCCCTGGGCCTGGGCCTGCATGCTTCTGAGTTCATAGATGCCTAGCTTGGGGGCTTCAACATATGTGTTGAGAGAAAGACAGCCTGAGTATTGTCCATTCCTAACCATTCAGTATGGTCACCAAGAGACAAGGAGCTGCCATGTCAGATTGTCTTCCATGCTTTGGCCTCTGCATGGCCTGGGATGGTAGGGACAGCATCTCCCAGGGCATGCTTGCAGCAGTGTGGTGGTTAAGTGTAGAGTCAAATCCCAGAAACACTGCACAAGTCCCAGTAGATAGTATCTGTTGTTATAACTCAGTAACTGGACCCAAGAGCTAGTGTGAGTAGAGGGTACCTGCTGTATTTCCTGATACCTCATTTACAGCATAGATGACACTCTAAACAGTGTTTCTCATGTCTATATTGAGCTAGAGGAAGGAGAATCTGTTCCCCTAGCTTCTGAGTTAGAAATCTCTAGAGCCCCAAATGGTTTTACCATGGCCTTGGCTGCCCCCTTTACTTTTCACCCAGAAGAGTGTGTGGGGCAGGGGGCAGTTCTTAGATTCTGTATTACATAACTAGAGAGGCCTTCCCGTTACCCAATTCAAACTCCTTATAAGGCCTCACATAGAAAACTAAGGTGATAGGATGACTTGTCCCAGTTCACACACATAGCACCACAGCTGGCCAAGAACTCAGTCCCTTGGATCTCCAAAGCTAGGGCCTCTGCTTCTGCTGCCCTACCCCACACTTAACCCCTTCTTTCCCTTGCAGATACCTTGGAGATGGCCGCTTCCATCTGGAATCTGTCATGATTGCCAACCCCAGTGTCCCTGCTTACCGGTATGGGCTGAACTGGGCTGACCAGCTTGGGGAAGGGTGGGATTTCCTGCCACTGAGAGTCAGCCTCAACATCTTCATTCCCTGACCACTTAACAGCCCCCAGCCCTAAGGATCTGAAGAGCTTGGGTCCTGAATCAGTATCAGACCCAGGGTGCCTCAGGCTGGTCCTCTAGCCCTGGCTTTCCCTACCTGTCCTGTAGGATTCACACCAAGATCCTAAAGCCCACTCCCTCTTTTGCCTGCTTCAGCTGTGAGACTGATCTTACCAACGACAGTCTCTGCTCTTGCCTAAGTTCCCAATTACCTACGTGGAGCCTGAAGTTTCAGGAGACTGAGGGACTAAGTCAGGGAGCCATGTGTATAGCACATGTCCTGTGAGTGGCCATTACCACAAGCCTAATAGCTTCTTCTTTTTCAGATATGACCCATATAGCAAAGTCCTGTCCAGAGAGCATTATGACCATCAACGGATGCAGGCCAGCCGCCAGGAAGCCATCGCCACTGCCCACTTAGCTAAATCCTGGGGCCTTATCTTGGGTACTTTGGGCCGCCAGGGCAGCCCCAAGATTCTGGAGGTCAGAGGGCTTGGGTTGGCCTTGGGAGGGCTACTGATTGGAAACCCAGCTGAGAAAATCAGTAGACTAAGGGATTTAGACTTGACTGTTTGATCTTGGTGACCCCAGCTCTCCTTCCCTCTTCCAACAGCACCTGGAATCTCGGCTCCAAGCCTTGGGACTTCCCTTTGTAAGGCTGCTGCTCTCTGAGATCTTTCCCAGCAAGCTTAGCCTACTTCCTGAGGTGGATGTGTATGTATCAGACCCAGGGTCGTTGCTGCAGGGCACCCACCTATGCTCTAGAAATCACACCAAGATCCTAAAATCCTCTCCCACTTTTGCTTGCTTCAGCTGTGGGGCTGATCTTGCCAATGACATTCTCTGCTCTTGTCTCAGTTCCTAAGTACCTGCATGGAGGCTGAGTCAGGGAGCCATGTGTATAGCACGAGTGTTTCCCCACCTCACCTACCTTGCTATGACTGGCTAAAGAAGCTTAGAAGCTGAGTCCTGCCCAGCACATACTGAAAGCTGAAGTCAACGGGAATTGCTTCCAAGGTCATGACATTTTCATGTTTTCAGAGCACCCATCCAGCAGGGCTCACTACAACTGCAACAGCACAGTGGTTCCATGTGAGATGAGTTTGAGGGGTGGTTGGCACCTGCTCTGTACCTGGCAGTAAATTTAATTCTGCAGATACTATCACAAATGAGCTGCCCAGGCCCTGACCTCAGAAAGCTCATAGTGGAGAAAACCAGAGAAAACAAGTAACACTACAGTGTAATTATTCTAAACAGTGGTAGGTGACAATCTTTACTTTAGAATTAGCAGCAAGCATTCATTTGTTGTGCTGGGGACATAGTCATGTTCTTCAGCATGCTGCCTAGGAGAGAGGGAAGACCCCGCCACCCTTGGGTCTGACCTGACTTCTCTTCCCAGGTGGGTGCAGGTGGCATGTCCACGCCTCTCCATTGACTGGGGCACAGCCTTCCCTAAGCCACTGCTGACACCCTATGAGGTAACACCAAGTTTTGAAAATCCTGGGAGAGAGTGGCCTTTGTACCTGGCTCTTTCAGGGGAGGGATCTGAAGTAGAGTGGGGTGGGAGGGCAGCGCTGAGCCACTTCTTAGTTATGTGACCTTGGGCAAGTCCCTTATCCTCTACAAGCCTCACATTTCCTTTCTGTGGTATAATAGGATCTTCGTAGGATGTTGTAGAGTTAAATAATCATGCACAGAAAAATGTTGGCAAATATTGTCCAATTTTTCTCCCCTAGGCGGCGGTGGCCCTACGGGACATTTCCTGGCAGCAGCCCTACCCCATGGACTTCTACGCCGGCAGCTCACTGGGGCCGTGGACCGTGAACCACGGACGGGACCTGACCGCCCATGCCCACGGCCGGCGGGCGCGGGGGAAGGTAGGCAGGGGCTCGAAGGAGGAAAGAAGAGAGGCCGCCTCCCTGGCGACGCTAGCCGAGGCCGCCGCCTTGCGGCAGCTTTGAAAATTACAAGGGAGCGGGGTGCAGGAAGTCGCAGAAGCGGGACCCTGACCGAACTCTGCGATGTCAGGTCCAGGAGTCCACGCGTCCCTTGCCAGACACGGCTTGCGAGGGTTGCAGCTGCAGAGCCGAGAAGGTGACGCCCCCTGCTCCCTAAGACACTGCTGGTTCCCAGGTATCCGCCTCTGCTCTGGCCGCGCCTCACCCCTAGCGGATGTCCGGGGAACTTGTCAGGCGCGCTCTGAGGCCCTCCTTCAAGGTGGAGCCGGCGTTTCGTCACGCCCCTCAAATCAACTTCCGCTCGGGGGAAGTGGCTTCCGGGCTCTTTAGCGCCCTGCGCGGTGCCATGGCCGAGAAGCAGTCGCTCCGGCTGTTGTGCCTGGCGGGCTTCCGTCAGAGCGAGCGGGGCTTCCGCGAAAAGACCGGAGCTCTTAGGAAGGCGCTGCGGGGCCGTGCCGAGCTCGTGTGTCTTAGCGGCCCGCACCTGGTCGCGGACGCAGCGGGCCCCGAGAGCGTCGGGCCAGATTCCGGTGAGACTATAGCCTTGCCCCGGAAATGCACGCCGAGTCTTATCGTGCCTCGTCCCCATAACACGTTTCAGCTTCTTCCACCCCTTTATTTTCAGTTTATTCTTCCCACCATCCCACTTCTTTCTGCCCATACCCTCAATTTCTTGCACCCCAGGCTTCCACCTAGATCTCCCTTCCCCCTCCATACCAATCTGTTCCCCCGCTTATTTCCCCCAGTCTCTCTGTCGCGTCTTTGCCTCTCTGCCGTTCCCAAACCCACCCTTTCATTATTTCTTTCCCCCTGGATTCCCTCTTTCCCTAACCTTATCTTCCCCATCATATCGCCGTAGGGCCCTGCCTTCCGGAGGAGCAGCCTCGAGGCTGGTGGTTTTCAGAACAGGAGACAGATGTTTTCTCTGCACTGAAAGAGCCCGCGGTGTGCAGAGGTCTGGAGGAAGCCCTGGGGACGGTGGCACAGGCGCTGACCAAGCTGGGGCCTTTTGATGGGATCCTTGGTTTCAGCCAGGGGGCCGCGCTAGCAGCCCAGGTGTGTGCGCTTGGCCAGGCTGGGGATTCCCGCTTCCCTTTGCCACGGTTTATCATCCTGGTATCTGGTTTCTGTCCCCGAGGCCTTGGCTTCAAGGAATCCATCCTGCAGAGCCCCTTGTCACTGCCTTCACTCCATGTTTTTGGTGACACTGACCGCATCATCCCCTCTCAGGCAAGTATGCAACTGGCTGGCCGATTTGCTGGAGCCATCACCCTCACCCATTCTGGTGGCCACTTCATTCCAGCAGCTGCACCCCAACGCCAGGCCTACCTCACTTTCTTGGACCAGTTTGCAAAGTGAAAGATCCCTTACATCCCCTACATGACCTTTGGGCAGCTTCTGTAGTCTCTTCCCTCCCCTTTTCTCTACCCTGGAACCTCCACGCTGTTAGTGTTCCTCACCATCACCAATTAAGAGACAAATATGAATTCTTTAGATTCAAATTTTACAAGCCCGGCTGTGCACTCAAGAAAAAAGGGAGCAGAAGATCTTAATGGACTTTCATCCTAACATGTGACACACATGAAAAAGGCCTGTGGAGCCCTAGATGAATGGAGGGTGACATGGGAAAAGTTGGGGCTGGCACCACTGTGACTGCCACACAATAAAGTGTGAGTTGGATTTTGAGCATCTTTTTCCTGATACACAGAAAAAAAACATTTTATAATGGAAATATGGATTCCTGGCCATCCACAGAACCAGTTAGGAGCTCCCAGGACAAGTTCATGCATATGTGCATATATACGCTCACATTTTTGGTGGAAGTTTTAAAAGTCCCAGGCTAAAGGAAAGGAGGCCTCGGTGGCTGAATCAGGGAAGTATTTACTTCTGAGAAGTTTTGGGAAGAGATCACCTGACAAGGCTCTGCCTGGGCCACACTGAGTTTAGGCTTCTATTCTGATTCCTGAGAGTTGTGTGCTGGCCTTCTGTCAAACGCTGGCTTCTTGTGTTCTCTGCTTTAACCCACTCTGGGCTGTGAGCTTGAAGGGTGGGATGGTGCTAGAGTTTGGATGGAGACCAAAGCGCACAGAAGAAATCCTTTTCCAAAGTTGACCCCATTTGCAGCATTCTGAGATTGATGCTACTCTATAGTGATCACAGCCAAGGTTAAGTAGCCCATCTGATTTGAAGGTGCACTTGCTCCTAGTCACTCTGAAGACTGCCTGCTTTAGCCATTTCCCCTACTTCCAGTTCTCCCACCTGCCACCCACTGCTGCCTTCTCTGGAAGATCACACCAGACCTTCATAGCCCTCAAGCATTTTTGCCCCCAGGAAGTTTAGTAATTGAGTATAAATTAGAATTAGGGGTTATAGCACAAATACTCCAGCCCATCCTGAGACAACAGACTAATATCCCTTAAATTGCCTGAAATTCTGAGTTCTTCATTACAGATAGCTACTGTCCAAGATTAAAAAAAAGCTTGAGTTACCTGCCCAGACAGACCAGTTCACTGGATTTAGGACCTTTACAGCAGAAGGTGAGGGTGGGGGCAAGTGATCCCCTGCTTCAATTTACCTCTGCTTTGCTTTGGTATTTTAAGGGGACCCTCCCCCCCACCTTGGCTAAACGCAGAGGCTCTGAAATGGAATGAATTACTCCTACAGACCTGTAGATTTGGCCCATAGAATTTTAGAAAAAATTGGATTTTATGGTAGTTAAAAGTTCAGGAATTTGACACAAAAATTTGGACTGCTGGCTTCTCTGGAAATAAGTTCAAAATGAAATGCAGTGGACCTGCAATTCAGGGATCATATGCCCTTGTGGCAATCGGTCTTTCCCCTGTAGCAAGGTCCCAACAAGTGAAATTGGTGACTACTTGCATACCACAGCTGCTGCTACTTGGGATTATTGTGAAGACTACAGGAGAGAGGAGATACATGGGGAATGAAATTTAAGCCAGGGCTTCAAGTTAGAGGGGTGAGGGTAGAGCAGGGCAGTATAAGGTGGAGCAGAAGTGCTCATGCTCAGGTGAGAATTCTGGAGAATCAAAATGTCCAAACAAGAAGGAAGCAGGTTATATGGTTCACTGGTTCCCAATAAGTGATGATGTCACCTCCTGTCATGCCCTCCAGTAACAATGGAGAATCTTAGGTTTTCTGCCCTCATCCCCCACAGAGTCTAGTAGGCTATTTACACAAGGATGGAGTTAACACTTGGATTCCTGGGGCCAACTCCAGACCACTGGGACCCGGTGATCTGCATATTGACAAACTGGTTATTCCCATGCAACAATATTTGAGAAACACTGTCTTAAAGAGGGGAATATAGGTTTCGTAAATATGAGTTATTTGAAAACCCCCATGTGAATCTCATGCACTCCACTAGGGAACGGGAGCAAGTTTTCCAATTAAGAGTAATTAATAGTATTTTCAATATATAAGGAAAATGAGGTCAAGAGGATAGAGGAATACCATTTTTGAGTGCTAACTATGCCAGACATAAGCAGAAGCTTGAGAGTTGCCTAACTGTGCTTCATAACTATCTGGTAGATACTATTAACCTAATTTTATAACTGAGGAAACAGGCACAGAGAGGCCAAGTAACTTACCCGAAGTTGGATTCAGATCCAATAATTCACATTCTTCACTTTGACTAGTCATTGTCCTCTGCTGTACCAGAGAAGATGAATGGAAAGGCTACCACCCACTACTGTTAGCTGTATGTCCCATCTGGGTCTCACCTTCCTAATCCATAAAATAGTTGGGGGTGGGATGCATCAGATGATTTTCAAGATACCAGAAAATTACATTTGTCCTCTTTTTTTACCCCCCTGACCACTGTTTCCAGATGGGTTCAAACTGCAAATGACTTGGTCTCTTTTCATAATCATCTCTTACCATTTTTTTTTTAACTTCTTAGTGCACCTTAGATTCCCAAATCTCTTGGGGGTAAAGAGTTCCTTAGCAAAGGACCCTCAGCAGACCAGTCCAAGAACTTATGCTCAGAAAGATGTGCCACCCACCCACATTTATTCTGCCTAAGTGCCCAGAGCTGGAGTCTCCCCAACAACCGCTCCCCCAACAAAGACATGATAGCTTAATATATACTTAAAACAGCATTCTGCAGTTTTCCAAGGTCTTTGCTTACATGATCCTATTTGATCCTCACAACAGGCCTGTCAAAAGGAGGAGTTATCCTCTCACTTTAAAGAAGGCTCAGAAACAACATGGTCCATAAGTAACAACCAGTTGATTATGAAGCCAGGTTGGACCTCCTGCTTCCCAGTGCACTACTCCCACCTGCACACACTATGGTCTGTGCGTGAATGGGTCTATTAGATTCCAGAATCAAGTGCATTTTAATCTTAAGACCTCAGGGTCCATGGGTGGGAGGAAGGCAGCATGTGGGTGTTGATTGGCTGTAAAACCAGCTCCAACTGTCTTAGTAGTTGTTTAGAAGAGGGGATATAGAGCAGTAAAGAAAAATTGGGTTAATGGGTGGCAGGGCTGGGTTGCATTAACCATTACCTACACTGTCCTTAGGGAAGTCCTCACCCAATATCCATCTGTCATCCCCTGCGGTGGGTGATGTTGGCAGTGACAGGTGACATACACTATGTATTTGAAGGTCATTGCTCACACTTCACTGGCACAACAGGACGTCAGCCCTCTGATACTCACCCCCCACCCGCCTTTAGGGCTAATTTGACACACTGCCTCAAATTGAAATCCAGTACCTAGAGATAGACTTGAGGCGGGGATGCTGATACTTGAGACAATGCTTTAGGGACTGTGTTAACTTTACAGGCCCACTGGCTTCCTGAGGGTTGGGGACCCTTCTTATGATCCTGCATGGCTCAGAGGAAGAAAGTCGGGTGAGGCGTGAGGGCAGGCTGTGACTTCATCAAAAATGGGTCCGCGCATCAAAAATGGGTCCGCGTGTTACTCTTCCCCTCTGCTGACTCAGCTAGGGGTTCTTGGAGAATGTGGCGTATTTAACAAAACTTTGCCTACCCCCTTCAGTCCCCAGAACACAAAACTTTTTCTCTTGCCTCCAGGGCCCAAAAGCCTCCCTCCCATTGAGGAAATAAAAAGAACCCAAATCCCAGAACTACCCCTTCTCTCGCCATCCCCTGGCTGCAATACCTCGGCTAGGAGGACAGGACGGTCACTGAGGCAGACGGTCAGACCGTGCTTCCTTCTTTGCCTGGGTGGCTGCGTTGCAGTCAGAGCCCGGAGCAGCCCACCTCCCTGAGCAGCACCTCCCGCCTCCCCGGCAGACGCATCTGAACTTGACTCGGCTGCTCCGCGCTTCCTCCTGGTCGCGGTCTCCCCCATCCCGGGCTGACAGTGCGCGGCGTGACGCGCGCGTGGGCGTGCTGCGGGGCGACCATGGCTGTAGACTGTTACCTCCGGTTCCCACAGTAACAATCGAAAGCCACGGTTGCCCTGGAGACGCGGGGGCGGGGCGCGCGCTGCTGATGGCACCGCGGCAGCTCCTGTCAGGCTGACGTCAGGACCGCTGGGCTAGGGGGGCGGGGGCGGTGCGCGGCACTTCCCCGGAGCTGTGCGATGTGCGTGTGGGCCAGCCGTCCCTCGCAGCCTCTGGGGACCAGGGACAGGACGGCTGATGCCCGCGCCTGTGCTCGATCAGCACCGCGGACAGCGGCGGCGCGGGCAGCAAGAGTGGGGTTGAGGGACTCTGGGAGACCGAAAGGCTGGGGGCGCGGCAGGTGGCCGCGGTCCTGGGGCGGGGCCAGGCGTCGGTGGCCGTGACTAGAGACTGTTACTGAGGGCGGCCCGGGCAGTAAGCAGTCTAGAGCCAAGGTGCCGGCACGCTGCCCGGGCGGGGGTGTCTCCCCAGCGTCTCCCGCCTTTCTTGGTCCCAGTGCTCGCGGATGGGCACGCAGCCCTTGACGTCAAAGTCCTGTGATGTCAAAGATGGCCCCTCGGAGAGGCACTTCCGGCTGTGGGGGAAGGGGTGGGTGGGGTAGGGCGGGGCAGTCCGGCCGAAGCCCCGCCCCCGCCTGGTCCTGAGAGGACAGTTCCTCCAGACAGGAGAATAGAGGGACCGGCCCCACGTGACAGGACAGGGAGGGGGCGCCCCGGTTGAATGAGGGGCTGGGGTCGCGAGACAGCCGCAGCAGGGACAAGTGTCTGTCTCTCGCCGGCGACCCCCGCTCAGCAGGCCAGGGGCAGCGAGGCTGAGTCACCACTGCTGCGGGGAGTAGGAGGAGGGGCACATCTGGGGCGCCAGCACCCTCGCTCCACTTTCTTGGGATGATGGCGCAGGGGCCCCAGGAAAAGCCGCGGGTACTCTGGGGTCCGTCTTCTGCTCGATGTTCCTAAGTGGCTGCGTCTCCATCCGGGTGCGAGGGCAGATGCTGCACGGGGTTCTGTGTACGCCTCCGGCCTCGGCTCCACAAACTGCGAGGGGACCCTCGACCCCCACCCTGTCCCAAACCCATCCCGTAGGGGTCTTCCAACCTGTCGTCTACCTGTCTCTCCCTTGCCCTCCCGTCCGTGTCCGTGCATCGGTCCATCTGGCTGGCGCTCGTCTGTCGATTCGTCTCCCTTACCTGTCGGGCCTCGTAGAGCCCGCGCCCGCGCCTGTTCGCCTAGCTCAGCCGGGCTGGCGCGGCGGCTTTTATAGGCGCGCGTAGTACTCGTGCGGCAGCTCATTCATGCGGCCGCGGCTCCTACACACTGACGCGTTGCAGACGTCAGCAGGGAATTTAGGAAACTGGAAGAGGGGCTATTTATAGCGGCGAGGCAGGAGGGGGGGGTACCGAGGCAGCGGGGAGCTGGCAGCGGGAGGAGGGCGCACGGAAGCAGGAACGGGGAGGGGAGTCTGTGCCCCCTGTACCGGTCGACAAAGGGTTAACTTTCCGGAACTGCGGCTGGGGGGCCCGCGGGAGGACAGTACAGGGAGGGCGGAAGGGTCCATTGCATGTTTATTCACTCGGGAACACCTGAGGGCGTAACCCCGCTCCGCCCGGCCTTCCGAGGACCTCACCCGGTGGCCCCCACTCCTATTCCCCTGCTGCTGGACCCGACGGCTCTGTGACGTCACAAGATGCCCCGCGGCTGCGTTATACTCCGCAGGGCACTGGGGTGTCGTCACCGCTGGGTGCGGGCGCTGGCAGGAGAGGAAGCTGGACCCCTGGAGGGGCCTAGAGCAGCATCTAGAATTGTGGCGTCAGGGGGATGGGGAAGAAGGGTCTTGGCACGCTTTGTAGAGGGAGGCTGGGCCTGGAAGGGAATGCCCAGTGGAGGGTCTGTGTACCAGTAGGGAGCTGGAGACTGGAGGAAAGGTAGAAAAGTTGGGGAGGGTGGCTTGAACTCCCTGGAAATGTGCAAGGGGGCCCTCTATGCTTAATTTTGGGGGAAAGAGCAAGAGAAGGGAGTAAGAGTAAGAGTGAGCCTCAGCAAGTAGAGGGGAGGATGGGTCGGCAGTGCCAGTTTCAGAACCTGGTACCAGCAGAATGCTTTTAGGACCCATTTGTAGAATGCTGGGCATGGACAGAGCTCCTATAAGGCTGATAAAGAGTAAAGAAGACTAAGGGCTCAGAAACTTGGCAGATAGGGGTCTCTAGAAGGTGATGGGGCAGAGATCACTTCCTGGAGGAGTTAGAATTCCTGGAAGTAAGAATTGGCAGGAAGGTCCCATGCCATGTGGGGCAAAGTTTCTCTGAACAGAAGCAGGAATATGAATGATCCTGTCCCAGCCTAGCTCCATCAATGGAGGAAGGTGTGTTCTGAGAGGGCAGCTGGATTGGGGTGGACAAGGGGAACAGGTACTGGGGGGTGGGGAGATCAAAGATGGAAGAAGAGTGAAGTTTGCAGGAGGGCAGCTAGGCTGGGGGCAGGTCTGTGAGACCCCACTGTCATACAGATGTAAGGAAGCTTGAGGGTAGGGTCTGGGGCAGTGAGTTGACTTGGGGAGCGGGGATGTGGGAAGAGAGTTGAAAGCAAAAACAGTGGGCATAACAGACACTACAAAAAAAGTCGTCCACTGCACTAAAGAGACATGGGACTGAGGGGCTCCTTGTGGGGCTAGATCCTGGCCCCATGAAGAGGATAAAAAATTACAGCCAAAATGGGGTCAGAGAGGTCCTGCACACATTTTGGGATCTGACCTCCTAGAGTTTCCATCTTTCTTTTCCTCCAGCCTTTGTCCCAGGAGGTCTCTTTTCGAGGAATGTCTTCCCCCCTGGACGGAGAACTCCTATTCATCTATCAAAACCCACCTCTGAGAGCACTTCTTCTGAGGAGCCTTGCCCCACCTCTGCATTCATTCACTGTTTTTTTTTTCCACCCCAGGGCACAGCACATCCACGGGCCAAGATGTCGGCATCCATCTCCTGTAGAGGCCACAGCTTCGGAACCCACAACTTTCATCCTTGGAACCTCACTACTTCTCTAGTTAGGACACCGTGGGGAGACGGAGAAGACGACTGACATAAGATGGATCCAGAACACGGAGTGGGAACGGTGAGGGCGGACTCAGGAGTGCTTGAAGTCTGGCCTCGAGGCCATCAAGTCGCGTAGGGAGGAAAGGGAGCCTCTAGGGGGCGCCGGAGACCTTGGTGTCTGTCAGGAACCGCGAGTGGCCGCGCCCGTGGCCCCTCACGTAGTGACTCAGCCACTACCCCTGGCGGGAGCGTGGGGGCCAAGAACTACGCGGGGGACGGCGAACGCGGCCCCCACCCGCCCAGCGGCCCTGCGTGGTTGCTAAGCTCTCTAAGGCCGTGGAGAGACGCGTTCTGGGCGAACCTCCTCAGTTACTATGGTAACTGCGCCCCAGCCTCTCGCGCGCGGCAGCCAAGGGAGGCGCAGCCAATCAGAAGCTGCAGGCATTCTCGGGGACCCACTCCTACCCCGCACATGTGGGCGCGAGTCAGGAGGTGCCAGGAGGAGGCGTAGCGTGGGCCGGGGGTACCCAGAGCTAGGCACCGGCCCGATGCCGCGGCGGGGCCGCGCGGGGACACTTCCGGAGTAGCGGTGCAGAGTGCAGGCGCGCTAGTGCGGGTCTCCTCCCTGAAGGGGCGTCGCCAGCTAGAACCTCTCCTTCCCTTGGTGTTCAGGACCTTGCGGGGGTTCTTGGGCTGCAGGCCTC